CTTCTGCTTAACAATTTCAACAATAAAAAAGAAAACAAAACAATAATTACAACAAAAAGGCAAATAAATGAAAAAAGTATAACAAAGTTCCGAAGCAACTTATCAATGGAAAACTGGGATCAGGTTGTTAATTGCAAAGACACTAACATAGCTTACGATATTTTTAAACACACTTTTACAACTTTGTACGAAAAAGCTTTTCCCAAGCTTGAGCAATTAACAAAACTCAAAAACCTTAAAAGTCCTTGGATGACAAAAGGGCTTATTAAATCTTCAAAAAAAAAACAAAACATTATGAAAAATTTTTGAAAAAAAAAGACTTTTAAAAACGAAAAAATATTTAAACAATACAAAAATTTATTTGAAAAATTAAAAAAACATTCAAAAAAAAACTATTACTGCAATTTATTAGAAAATTATTGCGGTAACACTAAAAAAACATGGGGCGTAATAAAAGAGGTAACAGGAAAAAAAAAAGATGCTACCAAAGTATTCCCGCAATACTTAAAAACAGATGAAAATGATACAGTAGCCAATAAGGCAATAGATATTGCAGAGAAATTTAATAACTATTTTATAAAAATTGGGGAAAAACTAGCTAATAAAATAACTCGTGGAAAAAAATGTTATAAGCTGTATCTAAAAAAAAAAGCCTCAGTCATGAACGAGCTTGAAATAACTCCGGATGAGCTTAAAAATGCATTTAATAACTTACAAGAAAACAAAAGTCCAGGACTAGATGACATTAGCGTGAACGTTGTAAAAAATGTCTACGATATTATTGAATATCCCCTTCTGCATATCTGTAATCTGTCTTTAAAAAATGGGGTGTTCCCTGACCAGCTAAAGCTAGCAAAAGTTGTTCCTATATTTAAAAGCGGAGACGATTCGATTGCTTCTAACTACAGGCCTATTTCTATTTTGCCATGCATTTCAAAAATATTAGAGCGCATAATGCACAATAGGCTAAACAATTATCTAGTAAACCACCACCTACTAAATAATAACCAATATGGCTTTCAAAAATACCATTCAACAGAACACGCTGTAGCCAAACTTGTCAATGAAATTTTAAATGGGTTTGACAACAATAAATACACTCTTGGGGTATTCCTCAATCTCTCAAAAGCGTTTGACACTGTTGACCACAAAATTCTTCTTTATAAACTATATAATTATGGAATAAGAAATAACAATTTAAAATGGTTTCGCTCTTACCTTAATAATCGGAAACAAGCTTTATCATATAACAACACTGTAACACGACTTGAAGACATTACTTGTGGGGTTCCACAAGGATCAATTCTTGGTCCATTATTATTCCTCGTTAATATTAACGATATCTACTTATCTTCTAGCATACTTAACTTTGTCCTTTTTGCCGATGATACGCAAGTGTTCTTTAGCCACACAAACATTAGCCTATTATTTAACACTGTTAATCAAGAACTTGAAAACCTGAACGAATGGTTTAATGCTAACAAACTCTCCTTAAATGTCAAAAAAAGTAAATATATTCTTTTTACAAAATTATCAAAATCTGAAACCCTCCCCTTAAAACTACCTGATTTACTAATTGATAAAACTAAACTTAAACGAGAATACTCAATCAAATTTTTAGATGTAATTCTTAATGAACATCTTAGCTGGAGTAATCATATCAAAGTAATAGAAAATAAGATATCAAAAATTATTGGTATTATGTATAAAACAAAACATCTCCTAAACACAAATTGTTTAATATTTATTTTGCATTTATTCATAGCTACATCAGCTACTGCAACATTATCTGGGCAAGTACTTATCCTTTAAAGTTAAATATGATCTACAAAATACAAAAACGAGCAATTCGCTTGATATTAAATGCAAATAAATACGCAAGTGCCAGACCACTACTAAGAGAAATTGGAGTGCCTAATGTCTATGAAATAAATATTCTTAATATACTTATTTTCATGTTTAAGTTTTAAAATGGTATGCTACCAAGCATTTTCCAAACTTATTTTTTTTTCTTTAAACCACAAATACGAAACTAAATACTCAACAAATAATTTTATTATACCAAAAACATCAAAATAAGCTGATTTTTCGATATCTTGCCGAGGGCCGCGGTTATGGAACTTGCTTTTAACAAGTAATATAAAAACTTTAAATTCAACTCAACATTTGTTGCAATCATATTCATTAGTTTCAGACATCTCCTTTCCTTTTTCCTCATAATCACAAAAATGCTCTTGTTTTTCACTCACAAAACAATGCAGAGACTTTAGTACTGCTATGGCTGTGTTCAGATCGAGTTTGGGATCTTGTAGTATATGACTTTTAGCATTACTTCGAGCAAGAATGTCGTGCCAAAATGCAGCATAGATACCAGTTTCCAGTTTGCACATCTTGCCATTAAGACCATTTGCCTTGGAACGTGCTTTAGGTGTTTCATTTTCATTCTCCGATATATTTTGAAGCGTATTGCGGATAGGATCATATCCAACGATGAGAGCTTTTACTGCACCGGATCGGCATGACCATCGTGTTGTAGAGACCCTTTTCGGTACATTCACCCAACCAGATTCTACACTTTTTAGAAAGTCTGTGAGAAGTGTAACGATTTGTCAAAGCTATGAAAAACACATATAGTGCCTCGAGAAAGTCAAAAAATGCTACTTCAACCAGATTTAGTTAATATCCATCACAGGGTATCTAAGTTGCGTGATGATTTACAGCTGACACTTTAGCTTCAAGGCCATTGTAAGATTGCCCACGACAATTCTGAATGTCAATGTCATGGTCTTCAAGGGAATTCATTAATCCACGAAACATTTCTTCCGCTTTGTATCCTTGGTTCGGCAAAAGTTTCACGAATCTTTCAACTGGTCTATCTTGTTCTATATATCTGAATATTTGAGTTAGTTGATCAACATGGCCTTCAGCAGCAGTAGAATCAAGAGACACTGAATAATTTTTTGACAATTTTAAGCGTGGAATGATTTCGTTTAAAACTCGATTGCCCATTAGCCTAACAAGTTCTTCATAGACAGTAGATAAGAAATAGTTTGTATGACCAGAACCACGACTAGCAAGATTTTTTATGTGTTGTTCTAAGAAATCATCGTATTCTGCCAAAAGTTCTAGAAACCCTAAATAATTGCCATTGTTAGGCGATCCAATTGTTTCATTATCTCCACGAAGAGCAAGGCCACGTTCACATACAAACTTTAGCACACTGATTAGTCGTTTAAGCAGACTAGGCCAATAATGTTCATATCGATCCATTTCACGGGTAAGTTCAGAGTCTATACGTCCATCTTTTTTAGCAAGACTTGCTGTTTTCTAAACAGCTTTCATATGATCTTTGGATTGCTCATGTGAACTGAGTCGATCCGTAGCATGTTTCCAATCACAGAAACCATCGTATGTAAATTGGGATCTCACAGTACCCATTAACTTACAGAAAAAACAGAAAACCTGACCATTTGCAAAAGCAAAGCCAAGAACGTTTTACAACTTCTCCATTGCGATTTGATTGCTGAAACATTGTTGGTGTACATTTCCGACTGACGCTGTTTGCAGCTTTCTGGATTGCTGATTTAGCATTCAATAACTTGACATCACTGCGGTAGAGATCCATAGGGCCTCTGCCAGCCCAGTAATGGATGAATTCTGCTGTGATTTTTTCTGGCCACCTGCTGATGTCATCAGCTTGTATATTCACTTGACTGCCTTGACATTTAGGCAATTCTTGCTCTAAAGCAATGTCTGTTTTCTCAACATTCTGGCTGTCCTCGGGATTTTGGTAAGCAATAGACTACTGCATGATGAAGGTGGTGTCTCATTTTCTGTAGCTGATTGACCAATTAAGAATTTAGTAATTCGAGGTGTTTTGTTCAATTCTCGAGCCTCTCGTTCAGAACGATCTTTTGATGCTTTCCTTTTTGCAGCACCATTTTGAAAATGTCGTGGATCTTTGTGTCTGTCAGTGTCCATTAAGTTTATATAAATATAAATTGAAATAAATATTACAAAAGTCAAAAGCTTATTTAATTATTATTTATTCTAAAAAATACACATTACATTATAAAAAAACATTATAAAATAGGAATATTGCATCTGAATGTTTAATAAAAAATTGTTGTATTTTCAACAAATAAGTTTATATTATTGTTAAAACATAGTGATTAGTGATAGTTCATGGCATAGAAACTTTGCCTTGAATGGAAGTCAAAAACTCAATATGATATTAAAACTGAATATGAATTAAAAATTACAAAAAGATGAGAACTATTTGAATAGTTTTAAATTATAATCTTAAGATTGCATGCAGTTATCATTTAAATAAAGCTTTGAATGTTGAAATTCAAACAACTAGTTTTAATTTCACATATTTATATATTATATTCAAACTTTGAATATAATATATAAGTTGAATATAAACAAAAGATGATTTATTTAAACAAAATAATATTTTTTCGGTCTCGTATAATATTTTATTTAGATAAATATATTATTTTTGTTATACAGTTTATCATGGTATGTGCCAAAAAAATTTGCATGGTTGGTATATAATTATAGTTGTTACTTTACTATAATTACATTACTTTATTGTCATTGAAACGTACTTTAACGAACCACAAAAAGCATGCATAAAAATTCTATGACGATTTTATGTGGAGGCCCCTAATTGTGGAGGCTCCTGGTGACAACCTAATTTACTAAATGATATTTTAGCTAAGGCAAAAAATTGTTGTGGGGTCTCTTCTATATAAAACTAAACTTATTGCAAAAGCCCAAATTAATGTAAATTCTTTCAGCATTGCGCTCAAGGAGGTTTAATAAACTTTTATTTATTAAACCTCCTTGATTGCGCTTGACCGTTAACCAAATTTAATAAAAATTTGCGATTACAAGGACTGTTTAAATAAAGTGTTTTTAATAAAATGTACGGCTTTGTTTATAATTACGAATGAATTTCGACTAGGAATTACCGTAAACCCGTATGCAAATGTTTTGTTTGCGTATTTTCCATTTTTTAGCTACTTTAAAAATTTAAACAATAATAAATCTGCTGAGTATATATGAATATGTTTTAGGAAGGATATCGCTCCACAGGGCCGGGCCTATATCTGTTATATGATGAATACTAGTTTTGGGATGAAGTTCTCTTTTCAAGGTCTAACGATTAGGTCACCATTAAGCCCGGGTAAAATTCAAACCAAGAGTAATGTAAGTATGTGATTCTGAAATTTTGTAATGTGCTTTGTTTTTGTATTAAAAAAGCCACATCACAAAATGGCTTTGAATTTGTTTTTAATTCTTTGCTTTAAAGTATTTAAAAGTAAAAAATTTTAAATTCAATATTTATTAAAAGTAAAAAGTTTTTTTAACTAATACTTTAAAGTAATATTAAAGTATACTTTAATGAAATAATTGAGTAAATAAAAAAATCAGCAAATAAATAAATTGTTAAATAAAGCTTTATTTAGCAATTTATTAAAATTTCTTTGCTAATTTTTTATTTACTTAATTATTGTATGAAATTTTTGAGCCTAATACTTCAAATAACATCTTGAGACAACGACAGATGTTATTTGAAGTAAACAACAAGTTCATTTATAAAGTTTTATTTGGTAGTTTAAGAAAAATATGAAAATAAAATCAAGCTGTTATTTTAAAGAAAAACTTTGGATTAAGTAATAATATTAAAATAAAAAGTTAAATCAGCGTTATATTTTGACAAACTACAACCAATAAAGTGTTGTTTTTTCTTAACATTTTATTATGTTTTATTTTATTTATTATTAAAAACTAACAAACATGATAAGTACCAAAAGAGGTAGTATGGTGGGCTTTAAGAAGTTGAGATGTTTTGGGAATGGATGTTAACAGCTATCGTGACTTTAAAAAAAGTTATAATAATAAAAAAAATAAAGACTGATAGTTTTAAAGTAAAGGTTGGTTTTCCCCATAGTCTTGCACTCACTTTTGGAGTCCTGATCTAGGTCTAAAAGTCTAAATCTTGAGCCCAAATGTCTTATTTTTAGTTGGACTTAGACTTTAATCTTTTGACTGCATCTCTACACATGTCAACTGAAAACATAGGCAATAAAAGCTTATGGTGTCCAACGACTTAAAAGCACAGAAATGATAATGATTAGTAGAATGTGTTGGGTGGATAACAGATAAGAAAAGAAATGTGGATCTTAGGCAAAGATTAAGAATAATATGTGTATTTAATAAGGTGCTTCAGGGAAGATTAAAGTGGTTTGAGACTGTAGAGCATAAAGATGCAGATGATTGGGTATTAGCATGCATATAGTTGCCAGATAAAGGAATTGGAAGTTCAAGCACTTCATTAGCATAGACTTTGTATTTTTCTTCATTAGTTTTTATAAGTTTATGAGTATAAATTTTCTTTTTAAAATACTTACTTTTATAAACAACTGGAGCTTCTCTAACTCTCTGATAGTTGTCAATAAGGTTTGTGTTTTGGAGTTAAAGGATTGAGAGAGGTTGTGACAATTTAAAAAAAAAAGAGTAGTACCCCCATTCTAGTGGTCATTCCAGCTTTGGGGAATTGTTAACTATTGTTAGTAGAATATAATAATAAAAGATATATAAGTTTTTTTTAATTTAATTTTATATTTAAGTGTATATTAGGGTATCTCAAAAAACAACATTTAAAATTTTTTTTACTCTCACTCCCTTAATGTGCTCTATACAAGGGGGCATCTATAACGTATGAACTCCCACTTTTGGTGTACGTATGCACTATTTGTTACAAAGTCATCTCTCTTTCCAAACTCCTACATTTTTTAAGACATTAAAAACAATAAAATGAATAAAAAAGTAGTTTAAAATTTGTTTAGTGTTTAAAAAACTTGTTAGTTAATAATAATAGTAATAATAATAATAATACAAGGTTATAGCTATTGTTTAAAAAAAAAAATCAAAATGCAGTATTAAGTTGCATTATAACAGCCTTCAAATTAATTGTTTTTAAAATAATCATTGTCTATCTTGTTTTTAAATTTGTTTATTGTTTCTTGATTTACTGTTTGTGAACTTTGTTTATTCTAATTGTTTAGAATTGGTCTTATTTATCTTGGTAAACAGGATTTTTATTTCTGCTTTGTGATGGAGTGTTGATTTCTTAAATGCAACTTACGAATAACTTTTGTCGATCTTCTTTTTATGCTGTCTACAGTTTTAATGTCATTTTTTATGTAGGGACACCAGACAGGCACTGCATATTTCAAGTGAGGTCTTACTAAAGATAGATAAAATTGTCTTATTAAAATTCTATTATTATTTTGAATGTTTTCCTTATTAATCCTAAAAAATCGGTTTGTTTTATAAGTTACAGTTGTTGTAAGTTCTTTCATTTAAGGTCTTTTCTAAACAAAGCACACAGTTCTTTTTTCTTTTTGCTTGTTTCCATATTATGTTTATTTAGTTTGTAGCTATAATTCTGGTTATTTTGACCAAAATGCATTACATTACATTTTTCCTTGTTGAAAGTCATAGATCATGTTTTAGCCCATTGCCTTATTTTATTAACATCATGTGTAAATTTAGATTAGCCTTAAGGTACTTGGCTAGTTACCTGTATCCAATACGATGTAGAATCTACTGTGACTCTTTATTTTCTATTGGTTAGAAAAGCATGAATTTATTTTATTAATTGATTATCTATCCCTTGTTTGCGTAATTTATAAATAATTATTCTATGGGAAACCTTATCAAATACTTTAACAAAATCAAAGTAAATAATATTTACCAGTATCCTTAGATTTAGAATTCACATATCTCTTTTCTATTTGAAATATGTTTGTTGTTTATATAAAAATAGAATGATTTTGAATTATTTTTGCAATTTGATGCAATTTTTTTTTCAAACTCAATCACTACTCTTTTAAATTCTTTCAATGTAAGTTTTTGTAAATTTTTTTTTGCCACTGGCTATATATTTTTGCCATTTTGAATTTATTTGTTTCACCAATTGTTTGACTTTACTATTAAATTACGGTTCATGAATAAGCCCTACTACCTTTCTTTTTCCTAAGGAAGTTTTCAGGAGGTTTAACCAGTGTCAGAATGTAATTGTCATCAGTTGTTTTATCTTCTTCGTTTTGTTTACGCGATGATGCTGCAGATGTGAAAAATGTCATGGCAATGTATGTCCGTTGACTTCAACTTCAGCTGTTAAACCATTATGTAGTCTTTACACAATTGTCAAAGCTCAACGAATCTTCTCTTGAAGAATGGCATGCAGAACAGCACCATCATTAATCCCAATAATAAATTGATCACAAATTCGGCCGTCTCTCTCTCTGAAGACAAGAACTTGCATTCTTGGGGTGCTTAGATCACTTGATGTACAAACGTCTGTATCAATTCTTCATTGCCACAATAAGTTTTCCCAAATTCATACCGTGAGATTAATGATGATTTCCTAATTTCCAACGTTTCCAGTTTTGTCGCCAACTCTTCATATGCACTTAGGGACAGTCGCAGTAAAAGGATGAGACTTAATTGAATGACAAGTAATACAAAAATGAATTTTAGTAGATGGTACAAGATTTGCTAGCTCTTTAAAGCAGTGTTTTAATACATGAATTGATTTGAGATTTGAAGAGATAAAGAATAGAATCCAGTGTAAGAAATTGGAGAGCAAGGTAAAGAGATGCAACCTTAGAAGGTGCTAATTTTGCAATGGATTTGATATATTGTTTCCAAGAAAGATGGCAAGTAAAAGTTAATCCTAGAAAGCGAAGGTTAGATGACTCATCGAGTATATTACCATTCATAAATATAGGAAGATCTAGATTGCTGCGAAAGCGATAAGTTAAAAAAAATTGACTTTTAACTGGGTTAACCTTCACTAGCCAATGAGAGCACTATTTTGTAGCAGAAGTAAGATCCTTTTCGAGCTCAAATACCCCCTCTAGGCAATCTGAGAGTGTTGGCTTTTTATCAAGACAAAAATAAATGGTAGTATTGTCAGCAAACAACTCCACCTTAATTTTTAGAGTTTCTGGGAGATCGTTAATGTAAATTAAAAAAAGGATAGGGCCAAGGATAGAACCTTGAGGAACCCCTGAAGTTATAGGTTGTGAAGAAAAGTGCTGTTTATTGAGGACAACTTTTATTCTATGATTAGTATGGAAAGATTCAATAATCTTATAGATGTTATCTGATAAAATCTTATAGATAATACCTGATACATTTAAGAAGAGAGCTTATGGGGAAGACCAGCATGCCAAACTTTATCAAAGGTTTAAGTAGTTTTAAGAGCGATAGCCCTAATTTCTCCACATCTATCATACACGATAAAACCTATTGGTTGTTGGGGTTAACAAATCAGCAGTAGAACAAGAAGATTGAAATCCATATTGATAATCAGAAAGTAAGTTATTAGATTCAAGATGAGAGATTAAATGTTTGTTAAATAAAGACTCAAAAATCTTGCTTATGATAAGAAGAGGACTTATGTTATGGTAGTTAGACAAGTCAGATCACTCTCCAGAATTATTGAAATTAATTCTAGAGAGTGATCTGACTTGTCTGATCACTCTCCAGATAGCTAGAAAAGGACCATGCTGCTTTCCAGATAGCTAGAAAAGGACTACAAGCTGTAGATGAGTCTAAACAAGAAATCACTTTAGCAGGGTGGCCAGCAACATAGAAAACCTGAAAAAGTTAAGGAAATTCTAAACTATGTTAAAAAGTTAGGGAAAAGTCACGGAATATATTAGAATACAGGGCTCGAATTAACGCAAAAAAATCTAATCGTGAAAAAAAATTCCCCCCCCCCCCTCCTTATACCTTGCGCCGCTTTGCGGTAATTGGGGGGGGGTTAGATAATATGTTAAAAATAGAACAATTACATACAAAACTTACAATATAATTGTAAGTTTTGTATGTAATTGTTCTATTTTTAACATATTATCTCTATTTAAATATAATCTTATAATTTTCTTGTTTGGCAGAATTTAAAAAAGCGTAAGTTACTGTTATTATTTACAACTTAAGTTATAACTTAAGTAATAAACAATAACGTTTTTAATACTATTAAGATATTTTTTTAAGTATATTTTACTTAACATGATACTTAAAAAAGTAAAAGTAAAAAAGTAATAGAAAAGCAACATTATAATATCTAAACCACTTTAATTAGTGAAAGAAAACTCTTTAAAACGTTCATGCTGACGTTAAAACACGCG